TTTTGTGAAGCTCTAAAAATTACAACTACAACATTTGAACATAGCCCCCATACCTTAAGGTAAGACGTATTCTACGTCAAAAAAAGTTCAACAAATTTTCAGCCAAATTTTAAACTTTTTTCCCAGAAGTGTTAGAATTTTTTTGAGTACACAGTTTATTAGACCATTCAGTTTTAGTCTTATGCATAAAACCTAAGCAAATGCTTTTTCTTAAAATTTTAGACCTTTTACTCAATTTGCTCAAATTAATTTAAGTGAAATGTATGAAATGTTAAGAAAAAGCAATTGCTTAGTTCTACAAGGTTTTAAACTTGAGTGTATATGGGTTTTGTTAGAGAATGAACGGAATTTTAATAGAAAATTCTTAAAAATGAATGAAAAGAACTTCATTCGATTACTTTATTGATTGATTGATATAGATTTGCAATTACATAAATACTTTTGGCCATTAATTTCTTTAGGTGCAGCTCTTAAGTGTTTGTTTACATATCACATATCGCTCATTTACTTCAATACTGTCATAACTCAAAAAAAAAAAAATCGAGAAAAGCAGCTTTTGAGTTTTGAATTTACATAATATATAAATGTATATGTAGTATATATCCTGCAAACCCTTTTTTCAGAGCATTGCGAATTGTAGAAAAAATTTAAAGAATTCGTTAAGATACCATCCGATTTTTTGGCGAATTTTCTAAAATAAAAAAAAAAACTGTGCACACTTCGCTTCATTTACGAAATTTCGGAAGAAAATCGATAAAGAAATGAAAATAATCCTGCTATGTAAAGAATTTCTTGCAGAATTTTTTTCAGAATTTTCTTTATTTTTATACATGCATACACACATCCTGATTCTAATCTTCTTTCTATTCAATTAATTTGCATTCATAGTCGAAGGAGAAAATGATGAAAGGCGTACGGCGCGGTTGTGTGCGACTCAAGGACGCAGTTATCGGTATAGACGATCAAGAGGACAATACGTTCACGATAACTGTGGATCACAAAACATTTCATTTTCAGGTGAGTGATGTGAATAAATATAGAGATAAAAAAAAACTTTGGTCCGTAAGAAGGCATAGGCCTTAATTCCTACTCTTACTGCAATATTTCGTGGGTCTTATCAGTTTGTCAATCCTCTTGTTCGCAATAATTCTCAAGAAAGAAAAGAATGCATATAATTTCAACACAAGGAATCTTCAAAAACCTGGAAAAACGAGAAAATTCCGAAGCATTTTATTTTAAATATGTATGTATCTATTATCAAAGCCAGAAAACCCCCAAAAAATACATACACTGCCGGAACAAAGTATTGGCACGGCGAATTTTTCACAATATATGCAACAATTTTCATTCTAATATTTTTCCGCTAGTAGATCATTCTACAACAAAAAACATAAAAATGTAATTCCTATGCTTTGTGCAAAACTCGCGAAAATTCAGCAAATTTTCATGAAAATTTTAAACTTTTTAATCAGATTTTTTAGAAGTAGAAGTTTTTTTGAGTATGCAGATTTGTAGCCCAATCAATTTTATTATCATAAAGTGCAAGTTTTAAATTACTCCAGTTATTTTATCCCAAAATTTAGGCTCTTTTTTTTAGGCTTTTTTACTTCAGTATTTAGATATATACGGTGGTTTCCAGTGGAAGGTCTACCGCGAAAACAGAAAAAAAAATAAAAGTCCTATATCTAACTTATTTATTGGCCGATTTGGCTGTTTTTTTATAATACATATATGTATACTAGTTATGTAAGCAGAAACATTTTTGCAAAAAAATAGTCTCGTTAGCAGGGTTGGCAACTCACGAAACCGATTGCGTAGCAAAGTACCAGAAAAATCGTAAAAAAAAATTAAAAATCGTAGCAAAAGTTAAAAATTTATTATTTTAAATTCATAGTTATGCATATTTACTGTTTTAAAATAAAAACATAACATTTATACTCTTTTTTAAGTATTGTATTATATGTATTTGTTGCTTTTACAGTGGCATTTTCTAAATGCCGAACTTATAGAACTATGTATTTTTGCCACTTACCCCATCACTTTCGTCATAAATAAATGAAAATTTACTTTATTTAAGGCGAACTTAACCTTTTGCCTTTATTGAGCCGCTTTTAATCTGTGGCAACCGGGCCGCGGTGGAAGCAGTTCGACACGCAGTCATTGTTACGCCTTTGTGCAACTTCGTATATTTATGTTGCAGATGTTTTTGTTCAGACGCTTCTTGCACAATTTGTCGTAAGAGTAGATCTTGAAGCCATGGCCTCTTTAGCACATTTTTGAAGTTATAGTGATTTACACAAATAGTTGCTGCCCATAAGTTGAATGAAATATAAAAAGCGTGGTAAAAATAAGATAAAGCGTAAAGCGATTTATAAACTAGTTAAAGTCTCTATGTGTTATGAATTTTTTAACCAACAAACGGTGAAGATCTTATAGTTTTTAAACAGGTGGCAACCCTATTCAGAAAAATAATACATTATTACACATCTAGACGTATTTTCATTTGACAGTGACGGCGCAGAACTGACGCCTACGCTTATTAGGATTAATAATAGTGATTTTCATAACAGGTGGCAACCCTATTCAAAAAATAAGGCATTAGTGATTTTTTAGAGACCAATCGCTTTCATTTGACACCTCATTTTTTTAATCCAACGAACGGTGCGGATCTTATAGTTTTTTAGACAGGTGGCAACCCTATTAAAATTCTAAATAAAAAAGGTCACTCTGCTATCGATACAGAATATATTAGAGAAAATCTGGTCAAAATCCGTTTAGTAGTTTACTGGATTGCCGCGTACGAATAATCTCAACTTTCTTTTATACTATGTATGATGACTAAATAGGAGAGAAAGTTACTCATACGCCATGTATGAACTATTAATGAAATCATAAATTTGGATGGAAACATTTTGTAAAGAAATTATTAAGCATTTTCATATGGCTTTTTATCAATTAATTTTCTTCGTTGATAGCAAAAAAAGAATTTACAAAAAATCTTTTATTTTTAAGTTTTTTCCTTGTTAAAGTTTGCATTTTTTTCATTCACAATGCAAACTAAAAATGAAAAAATGAAAAATCTTGCGAAAATGAGTTAAACACCAATTTGAATACTTATATCAAGTTATCTGCATTTTAAAATAATAATTGTCACTTTTTCACTCTCTATCCTCTCCCTATCTCCCTAAAAAAAAAAAACACGCACTCCACCACACCTACTCAACAAAAAAAAAAAAATGAACAACAGGCGCAACACAGCGAGGAACGCGAGAAGTGGGTTAGACGACTAGAGGACACCATACGACGGCATGCGAATCGCACTCGGCTGTGGGACAATCAGAGCACTTTTTACCTTGGCGGCTATCAGAAGGATGTGATAGGCAACAAACGTGCCAACCACTTGGAATTACTGGGTCGACGTGTATCTGAAGCGGACGCCTATTTGCAGTTAATCATCGAGCAGACTAATGTGAGTAAAAAAAAATCAACTTAGAATCAGAACGAAAAATTCGTTTTATTGGACAAAATTTAATAAATGCATATTTTTATGTTGCAGAAAATCGACAAACGCATTGAGGAAATAACGGATGCTGAGGAAAAAGTCAAATGCAAAGCACTACAGGACAACGCCAGTGTGAGTAACAGCAGGAGTTGTATTATGCGTAAATATATATATACATACATACATACATATGTACATTTGTTTGCGTGTGTGTGTCACTGTTCGCATTTCTGCTTTGTTGTCTATTATGAAAGCTGTTGCTGTTCGCGCACGCCCGACTAGTCACCACAGTCTATGCATGGACCACTAACTGATTCACGGCGCGGGTTCGCTGTTGTTTGTTGCTTTTGTCGGTTGGGCTTTTGTGAGCATTAACGCTTTAATTTGCGTTATTTTTTTCTACTTTGACTCGCGTAAAATTGCATGCGCTCGTCCTTTGCGTGTCTCCTCAATTGACGCGCTAAAAAAAGACGGAAATGTTGAGGAGCCACGATGTTAGAAAGTAAACATTTTTTGTTTGTTAAATTTTTAAAATGTGGTTTCAAATTAAATTTTAATTTACCATCGGAATTTGTTTCTCCTTTTTGTTTTAATTCAATTCAATTAGTATATTATTACAATAAGTTGTAACGATCGTTTATAGTAAAGGCGTAGACAAAAGTGTACTAATAATTTCCCTTAATTTTTTTCCTCGTAAAATTGCTAGAGTGACGATACTGAAATTTTCCCTGTCTAACCAAAAATGCAAGAAATAGCGCTTCACCTTAATAACACAAAAGCTATGCTACATATTTTACATTTCAATCCCAACTTCAGGTATTTTTTTAAGAGAAAAAAAAGAGCTCATAACTTAAAAATTTAATGAAATTCGAATTCTAGTAGAACAAAGTACAAGTTACAAATGGCTAAAAATTACGGTTAATTTTTTTAGATTTTTTTTTGTCCCATTTGCATATACAATAATTTCTAATTCAGGAGTCCATGTATGTATGTATGTACCTATACAAATGTATGTACATCGCGTCATTAAGTTCTAAGGTACTACTACTCCTCTAGCTATTTGTTGGAATCCAAAATTTCGCACCTACACGCATGCATACATACTTGCGTGTTTATTTTCTTCCATAACATTTCTTCTTATTCCAACAGTTGTGTTTTTACCACATTTTGCTTTTGTCTTCATTTTCATTAAATATTGTTTCCTTTCTTTTTACATGCTTGTAACTCAACACGCAGGCCATGTTGGATCATATCAAGCACTCCATTGTAAGTCTACAAATTGCCAAAAATATGGCTCATCCAATTAATGGCATCTACAATGGGCCCATAAGTGCGACCACCCGCAGCAACAGTGCCGCTGCCACTCTGACGAGCATGAATACTGCAGGCACAACTTCTGGGAGCGCTATGATAGCCGCAGCGGCAGGCAAAACGCTACTCACGAGCGCCATAGATCCGGTGACGGGCGCAAAACTGGATGTGAGCGGGGGCGAGGAGGAGGAGGAGGATTCCACTACGGAGAATGGTATGTTTACATTTTTTCATTCCTGCTTTCGCTTATGCTTGATTTGCTGCGTCTTCATTTTGCCATACATTTATATGTACATATTTTGGATTGTCATCGCACTGCTTAATTTTGTTTTTGTTTGGTTTTAGAGCCATCTGTTTGACTTTTTCTTGTATGCAATTCATTTTCAGTCGTCGCTTCCATTTTAGTACTTTTTGCCAGCAAATTTTATCGGTGTTTTGATTTCCGTTTCCATTTCCTTTGGAACTGTCACAAAGCTACTCACCCACCCACCCACCTACATGCCTGCTTATTTCATCCTTTATTATTCACTTCCTTTGTTTGGTGGATTTTGTCAATTCTCCTTTCTCCATTTGAAGTCTTTCGAGTAATTTCCAATTCGCTTTGTTTAGTTTTGGTTTTGGCTTTATCTCGCTTAGTATGATGTTAACGTTCGCATGGCATTTTCGGTTTAACGACTACTCGTATTAAGTGTGCGTTTGTTTACGTTTATGCTTCTTCATATTGTTATATAAAACTCCGTTTTATTGTTCTATTCATTACCGACATTAAAACGCGTAAAATTAAAGAATTTATTGCTGGTTTCTGTTGTATGTCCGGCTAGACCGGCTATTTTCTCTTTTGTTCACTGTTCACTGAAGCTTATGAGAAAAGTGTAATAGATACATACTTCCTTGATACGTCTTCCCAAATCCGCTGGCGTTTCACGAATACCCGGACCTTGTTGTTTTAACAGTATAAAAATCTTCAAATAGTCTGGGTAATAATTTTGGAGTGGCCATACTCCGGCCAGACTCTCGTGGCTGTCGTAGCGGCACAGTAGAATAAGGTTGCAAATAGTTAATTTTTGTTGCTTATATGTTGTGGAGATTCGAAGTTTGTGTTGAGCTAATAGGTCGACGCCTAAACCCAAACTCCGACACTAAAATCAGACTGGCCACGGCATTTTCATTGAATATTTAAATTTCGTTGTCGGCCATGGAACAATGAATAATTTTTACTATCAAAGTGCGATCAGACTTTCAAATACAACTACGTTCGCCAAGTCTGCTCTAATTGAAGGAAAGCCAGGTGAAGTCACACGCATAAACATATATTGTTTTGGGGGAAAAAACGCGATGTGTTGACGGGAAAAAACCAAATAGGAATATAAGTTGAGTTAAAGTGCAGTCAGGCGTGGTAATGAAAGTACTTTTTCAATACTGCTCCACTCTGAAAGTGCTTAAAAAAATCAAATATTTTAAGACTTTATTTGGCGAACAGCGCGTTCGGGTCATTAAATATTACTATGTGACTGATCCTAGAAGTAATTTTAGAAAAGATTGAATTCGGCAGACTTTTTTAATAATAATTTGCATTGCCTCGACTGGCTGGACTTGTAAGTTTTAAGGTGGAGGTGGTCGCTGTTTGGAGAAAATCAAATCAAATATTCTCACTGCATTAAATTTTGCTATTTCGACTTTTCATAGGCAAATTAAGAGAACTAATAAAAAAAGCAGGCTATCGACCTCAAAACTGAAATTCTATAAAAACAGCCTTTTAATTTGTTTGCTAATTTCCTCCTCCCACTTCTACTTAGTTTTTCAATTAGTTGCTTGGCATACATATGTATAGATATGTAGATATGTACTATCTATGTGTACTTACGTATCCCTATGTATATATATGTATGTACATTGTATGTATTGTATAAAGCAGTATTGGTGGTTGTGTATTTGTATGTATTTGCATTATAATGAAATCGCGTTTAAATAGGCTTATTGCCGCAAACAGTGCCACGCGTTGTCAATGATGTACCCACGCAACATCAGCAGCGCATCGAACTTGACCAGCAGCAACAAAAAACCAAACAATACTTCCGTTATCAACGCCAATATCAACACATCGGCATGCTGCCTAGCCCCACCGCCAACAGCATTGATATTGTTGACATTATCGCCGATGGCATTGAGTACGGCACTGCGGTCGAAATCGCCATTAGCGGCGGCCCAGTTGGTGGTAAGTAGAGGAGTAGAATCCCCAAGCGACCAAGACAAACTGTCTGTATGTATGTATATATAAGTCTGTGGGTTTGTACTATTTAATGTTTTAGTGAGCATTTTTTTCAAAATTTTTGTCGCATGCTTTAATTTTTGATTTAAAAATTTTCATGGTACAGAAATTTCTTTATTCTATACATACTTCCTTATCCACTTCATATTTAGAACTTTTCCAAATTATTTTTCTTCAATACTTTCGCTTTGTACATACATTTGTAGTTACGTCATACATTTGTGGAAAGTGAGATTTATTGTTCCATTTACTTACAACATTTTACAAATAGTGTATTGTATTTTTATAAACCCTTTCATGTCCTTCATCGGTTTAGTGTTTTTCTATCATTTGCTTTGTCTTACATTTTTTAAGTTTTCTTTTCATTAATTAAAATCTTTGTTTGCTAATATACCACAAATTTATTTTTTCACGTTTCCTAGAACTTTATTTAGCTAGAATAGTTTTTTATCACACGTTCTATTAAATTTTTAGCGACAACAGCTCCTCTGGCTGTAGATGTGCCTGAAACCTCATATTCTAGCAGCGAAGATGAAGAGGACTTCTACGACGCGAACGATGATCCGTTCACTAGTATGGGAAATTCACCTAGCTAGTAAGTAAATTACATAATAGATTTTTATTAAGTCCCTTTTCATTATGTGTTTTATAGAGCTTTATAGCTAACGGCCTAGACCAGAGGCTATTCATAGTGAGTCAGCAAAATTTTACTTGGGCACTTTGGAAATTTATTTTCTATGTTTTCGATCTTACTGTTGTAGCGGCTACGTAGCCCTGTCTAGAATCCTCAATCGTCAGAGAGTGGTGTTAATTCAGTTTGGTTGAGTGGGCATGTGAAGTTAGTGCCATGTGGGCAACCTTCACTTGTCGGTCATACAGTGGGTACGTCGCGATCTAGATAGGAGCTTAACCTGCTACAATATCAAGACCGCATTTGAGCCAGAGTAACGCGTGTCTTCTGTCTTCTGTGGTAGATAGCGTTTGTATTCCGATGACAGCATTCGCAGGACGGAAATTAGTGAAGGTAGTGACAGTCGCTCAGTGAATGCCGTTTGTTACCTTTCCATACAGTGCTCGTCGTACGAGCCGGTTCGTTAGCTCGCTTCGTTCCCTGCGTTTGAGAGTTAATACCAGATCAATATTTACCACATCGAAACTAAAGATGTTTTACATGAACTTTTACGCCGTTACAAAAAATGTTTCACATCAACGATCAAAACTACCCTGCGTGACAGAAAAAAAAAATAGTAACCGAATAGTTCACAAAACTATTTGAGATCCCTAAAAAAACGCACATTTTTACTGTACTGTTGTTTTAGACAAAAAAAAAATTTATTCCGAGTACTTATTTGAAATTTGTTTTTGAATTTGTTGAATTATGTGGAGGATATCAGAGTGCACCACCAGGTCACTTTTTATTAACGAATAAGGCATCAAATAATATCTGTGGCCAAAGCTTTGGCCGAAAATGAAAAAAGCACTCCCAAAGCGTTTCTTCTTTGATTAATTTCGGATTTCACTGTCCCAAAATTTTTTTGAAATCGGACAAAAACCACTCTCTTCACCCATATAACGGTAATTTCAAAAAACTCAAAGTTAGCTATATTTTAGGGGGAGTAGGTTTTGTCCGATTTCAAAAATATTCAAGATGGTGCTTAAGAAGGCTAAGCCCAACGTGTATATCAAATTTGGTCGAAGTAGTTTTTGCGATACGCATGTATGTATGTATCATATAAGTGGGCGGTGCCACGCCAATTTTCCTAAAAAAAATAAATCGGTGACGCGCAGAATAGGAAATAGGCGCTAAATTTTGGTCGCAAAATTTTCTAAGTGAAAAGCAAAGTGTGTAATCAGCCAAATCTGGCAGTACACATGTGGCATGTAACTAGATGTTGCATGTTGTTAGGAAAGGTAACACGCCCATCTGCGGTGTGGATACTGTAGCCTCTGGTCCAACCCCGTCGAAACGGCGATGAAACGATAAAACGATTGTGCTTAACCATAGTCGTATTTTTTAGTAAAACAAGGAATCCACGCGTTTGGGGGAATTCGCCTTGAAGTTGATATGAACCTTAAATAAATACATTAAAGAAGTATAATTTTTATGAATTAAAGAAGCAACTTTAGAAGAACTCATCAAAAAAAAAAAAGTCCTGCCAAAGCCCATCGGGAAGCCGTTCTATGGGTAGCGAAGCAGGAGCCCTTCAATTTGTGCCACTCCATACAAAAAAATTAAAGAGAAAGGAATGACTCTCAAGCCGCTGCAACAACAACTCTCAAGAATGCTTTAGGAACGGTTTTTAGCTCCTACTTGTCCTAGCATGTTTATGAGTGCTACCATTACATTAGTCACGAATTCAAAAAAGCTTTATCTTTGCTTCAATTTTAATCGTATATTGTCTTCAAACTAATATTTCCTGGTTAATGGCTGAGAAAAAAAAAATGATGACAATGTGATTCCTTAAAGGGATTCAGAATTCCCTAAATGTTTATAGAGATATATTTATTAACTTAACTTTATCATCTTATTTAATACTTATGAATAAATAACGAACCGCAACAAGCATTTATTGGATTTTTAAATTGGACATTGCTACAGAATTGAAATGGACTATTTTTGAGGGTCGCTGTATGCTCGCACATGCATTCAAATGTCCGCTTCACAATTGTTTCCCTGCATTTTATTTGTGTCCTTTTCGTATTGTTTGTTTGTTTTTTGTTTTGTTCCTTGTAAGGACATCCTTAATCGAATCGATACACTTGTAATTGAAATTGTGAACCAAGCAGGCTCAAATCTACTTTTTAGCCTCGGGGCTTACCCTGCCATTTCCCACACCGTATCTCACATTCGCTAAACATTCTCATTGCAACACGTCGAGTATCATTCATAATTTTGCTTTTTTTTTTTTGCCTACTTTTTGTAAGCATCTATAATTAACCGCACTCTGTGAGTGGACCGACTGGCGGCTGGCTGCCCATAAAAGATTTCTATGCACTGCACTCTGTAGGCACAAAGTGAGAATGAACATTTCACATTTTTATTACGGCGAGTACAACGCAGTATCTTTCGGGCGCTGCTGTTGATTGTTTTTTGGGTACATATTTCGTTCTTAGGACAGACAGACAACGCAGTATTTCTTATTAAAAACCTTAATGTGAATTTTACCTCATCCACCAAGTGATTCGCATGAGTTTACATAATGCCAAGCGCGGCGAATGTGCGGCTACAGTAAGGGCAAATTGCGTGTAAGTGTTGTAATACAGACATATTATTGCAAAAAGTCAAAAGGAAGGAAATGGAGAGTGAAATGAATTAGAATACAAAAAAATAAAAAAAAAAATATGTCGGCACTCTTTGGAACCGTGCCTGGCACATGCATATAAACATATGTGTACATATATACATATTCATACAATGCTTCTTAAGCAGTGGACTGTGTTCGTTGATTGCAAAAGTTCATTTGATTTACAGAGTCATTGTTTGAAATCAAGACGCTCGCGAGTCGCGACATTGGAGTAGGCGCTCATTAGGCATTGGCTTTGGTAGACCGCAAGTTCAAGGTCGCGCTCATCCAACTATGTTTAACTTGCATACAGAAGGTTTGAGCGCAGGCTTGCCATTGCTAGCTAGCCAAGTTTAATTAAACGCCCGCTACGCGTCATAAGCGAACTAAGCGGTAAGTCGAAGATGAATAAAGGTAAAGTAGGCAATTAGAAGTGGTTTGAAGGCAAAGTAAGCGTACAGCTGACACCCAAGCGACGGCATTTTAACCGCTTCGCCTATCGAAATTGTCTTTAATTTTTTAATTCCTGTATCACACACTTATGGGCACCGGTGACTGCGTATGCAATAGGCGGATCTTTTTATTTTTATTTCAAACTGCAAATGCCTGTATTGATATATATAAAAAATTAAAGAAAATTAAAAGAAAATCTAAAAAATTTCAAAATTAATACATAAATTAATCACCAAAATTTTTTTTACTAAAATTATGCATACCCAAAAATTCAGACTAAAAATTTCAAAATTTAGATACAAATAGTTATGATTAGTAAAAAAAAAAGTTAAACAAAAAATACAAAAACATGTTTATTCTACTTCATAATGAAATGTCGATTTTTTGCCATTTTTTCACAATTAACTCAACATTTTGATGGTGTACGAAATTTTACTAAAATCATAATTAAAATTCTTAAGTAAGTTCTTACTATCAATTCGATATTTAAAATTTTTCGGATCCCGGGATTAATGAAAGCAATTCCCGGGATTATCGAGACGCCAAAAA